ATTCATTATTTTAGGTGCTTCCATTTTGTTGCTTTAATTCATTTGTTAAAAATAATGTAACTTTGGTAGCAAACATAAAAACTGCACTGCAACAGCATTAAGTTAGTAATTCTATATGGGCGTTTTGGTCAATTATGGGCTCATTCTCACTTAATTTAGTAAAACATTTCCTTATTATAATGAATTTTATTAAAAATCGATATTAATATGAAATATATGCGATTAGATGATTTCTCTTATTAGAGCTTGGGTCCAATTGACACACTTCAAGATGGGCGAAGAAACGTAGAATACCCTCCATACTAATAATGGTGGAGGCTTTAACAATTAACTTTATAAATTATAAATTACCAATTCGGTGGACTCAGTTGAGAAAAGAAACATGGACTGAAAGTTTTTTAGTTTTCTACTGTAAAAGTTTGTTTACGTAACAAATTTTTATCGAAATAACACTTAAAGCATTACTTTTTACACTACAGGCTACTTTTTACTTCAAAATTTCAAGTGGGTGAGGAGCCACGCCCACACACAAAATGGATATTAAAAGTCGCATATCTCAGAAACTGCAACAGTTAGATTGCAAAATTTTTTACGGAAAACTTTCACATTCATAAGAATATTTGTGGACAAAATGGCTATAGTAGGCGTGGTACTTTCCATATTAAGAAAATATTAAATCAGTTGTTCAATTCTCAATCGATGTTGTAGCGTTGTATGCGTTGTATGTCAGCAGCTGCTACAATAGTCATAACAATGTTGTTGGTATTTTCTATGCAAAAGCTCTATACAACTTCTTCGACAATTTTTCATATGTTTTTCGAATGTTGTAAGAAAGTTTAGTGTTGCCAATTGTTTATTTCAACATATAAACAAAAAAATCAAACGATTTTAGCATAAAAAACGATAAAGTGGTAACACTGAAATCAAAAACAAACAGCTGTTTACCAAAACAAAAAAACTAAAATTTTATTAAAAACTGTTTATTTATTAGTTTAAAATGTGGAATAAAAAACATTGAAAATTCAAAGAAATTAATTTGGTTTATTTTGCATGTTTAATTAATTTAATATTTTTTGATTTTTTATCTTTTGACATGTGGCCTCCGGTAGGTTAGTGGTTAGTGTTCTAGTCTGGTAGACCGGAGGTGGTGGGTTCGATTCCCACCTGAGGCACTGGTTAAGGAGCGCACAACAGGCCCGATAGAGGCCTAGGTGTATTTCTTCGGATTAGATGTATATACATCCTCCTTTCAAATTAACTAACTAACTATCTTTTGACATTGTTATGTATATTTGTTTTGATTGTTTTGTTTTTTCATTGAGAACATAAACTTATAAATTAAATATAAAAATTCGTTTATCTGGGAAACTAATAGAACTAGATTCTTAAAATTTTGCACAAAGAACTTTAATATTCCTCTGAATATTTTAGGGAAAAGGGCGGACATTCATTAGAGGGTGCTGTTTTTAACCCCCATATGAACTAAATAGAAAAATTCGTATATCTGAGAAACTATTATATCTAGAATCTTCAAATTTTATATGAAGAACTTTGACATTCATATAAACATTTAGAGAAAAATGGTCGGAATTTCAATGGGGTTTTGGCACCTCCCATATGAATTAAAAAGAAAATTTCGTATATCTATGAAACTATAAGATTGTTCACATTTTTCATAGGTTACGTTAAAATCTTAATAAACGTTTGAAAAACTTGCCAAACTTGCAATAATTTGCGTGGTATCTCCCATATGTAAAAAATTATATATCTGGAAAACTATTGTAGTTAGAATCTTCTAAATCGTTAAGTGGGGTTTTTATTTATATTGCTTATTTATTAATTTAAAAAGATAATAAGTTTCTCGCAAAATTAAAATAAACAAGTTAGAGTGTTATATTCGGCTGAGCCGAATCTTAAATACCCTCCACCAGCTACTTTTATATTAAGACTTTTCTAATTGATCAAATATTTGTAGAAATAAGTTATCTCATGTCTTAAATAGAAAAATCCCAAGATTTAAACAGCTTAAATCTATTACAATTCCAAGATTTATTTAGTAATCTGCATGTATGTGAAAGATTTAAGGATTTTCAGAATACATATATATATAATTTTGATAATGCAACTAGTTAAATACGGTTAAAGCGCTTTTAGGGGCAGGACCTAGTATGGGAGATATGACCAAATATATACCGATCGTAAAAAATTCTTTAAGCTCAATTTCTGTACATAAAAGCTACATTTCAGTCACATTTTGTATCTATATCGTAATTTAGTAATAAGTAATGTGTGTTTAAGTGATTTTCTGAAGGGAACCTTGTATGGGACCGACCGCAAGGATGGACCGATCGTGAAAAAATTTTGAAATAACATTTATGTGTACAAAAATAGTATTTATGCCAAATATTTTTTGGGTATCACTATTTGCTATGGCCAATTATGGACCGATCCCAAAAAGCTGTCATAGTAATATTTCTGTATACGTGAGCAATACTTGTACCAAATTTTATCTGGATATCTTAATTTAGTAATGAGATATGTGCGTTTAAGTGATTTTGGGGAGGGGACCTTGTACGGGAGCTGTGACTAATTCTGGACCCATCGGAAAAAAAATTCACAGTAATATTTCTGGGCGATAATTATACCAAATTTTTTATATGGATATCTTAATTTAGTAATGAGTTATGCGCGTTTAAATGATTTTCGGGAGGGGACCTTGTATGGGAGCTATGTCCAATTATGGACCGATCCAGAAAATGTTTCTCTGAATGAATTCTATTGATACAAGATTTTAATCTGTGAAATTTTGTGAAGATATCGACATTATGACGGAAGTTATTAACAAAAACCCCATTTTCCGGGAATATGTACTTTTGTATGGGAGGTATATGAAATTGTAGACCGATTCTGGCAATTTTCAGCAAGAATCAAGCTCTTGTGTAGAAACGAATGAATGGTGATTTTCATGGAATTATCTTGCATAGTTTTCGAGAAAATTACATCAGAATGTGTGAAAATGCTTATTTTTTCGAGATTGTTTTAAATTTTGATTCATAACTTTTACCGGTGTGAACCGATTTTGTTCATTTTCAATACCAAACAACTTAGGAAAATTTTGGGCGAATTTGGTTAAATTCAATTTGCTTCGTTTTATCGTGAGCGTGTTTTACACAGACAGACGGACATAGCTAAATCGACTCAGAATTTGATAAGGACCCAGAATATATATACTTTGTTGGGTCTCTGATGAATATTTCTTGGTGTTATACACGGAATGACAAAGTTATATATACCCTCTATCACTACTGATGGTATAAAAATAATAACAAGTTGCAAAACACATGCAAATCGTCTTACTTGCATTTCATATAAGTCTGAAAATTTATGAGTTTTGAATTTTAAATTGATAAAAAAATAACTTTCGATTACATTTAAATTAAATATTGAATTGAAAATAGCGAGGACCTATTTTTCGAAAAATGTCCAGAAATTAAATTGTAACTTTTGTAACAAAATATTTCAAAAATATATATAATTTAATTATGTATAATTATAATATAATTATGAAGGAATTTATTTATGATCAATGCAGTACAATTTAATTGTCCTATGGTTATTTTATATAGTTTATTATCTTTTTAAATAATTTGGTTCTTAAATTTTTTTTTATAATTATTCATTTTGTGTTGAAAGAATCATTGTAAAGTAGAAATTTGTAACCGCTTATGGCCTATAGGCTAGGTTACTGAATAGTGCCAATAAGTTAAGAAAGTAGGAAAGACTCGTAAAGAAAAATTTACGAGTAGATAGAAAAACAAGTGCCTGTGTTCTGTAACTTTCCCATCGAAGAAAAAACACTGTGAATTGAAACAAAATATAATTTTTCACATACAAGTGTTTCTGTAATTTAAATTAAGATTAAAATTAATATTATTAACTAATTTTTAGTAAATAGGAATTATTTATAATATACAGAAGTTAAGCTGGAAAAGTACGTGGGCATAAACCTAGAATTTTCCAGGGGACAATTTAGTGGGATAATTTTTTAAATATTTTTAATTTAATTTCAATATTTTTGTTTATTTAATCTTTGTTTATAAATTTGTTTGGCAATTTTTCGTTTTATCTTTATGTTTTTGACAGGTATTTTATTGGAAATTTCCAATAAAAACGTAATTCATGTTGCCTCTTTTCACTTAGTTACAGAAACACTTTTTACACTTTTTTTCTATTAACTATTGAGAGAAACGTCCGAAAACCGAACTTTAATACAATAAAAATGGGAAAAGCTATTATTTGGAAAAGATCTGCAGATGTAACCGAGTCCTTAAAATATTTCCTGATATGCATAGTTTCTTTGAACATTTGTAGCTCCAAAGCCCATAATTTTGGCATTTCTTTTAATAGTTATTGGGCCAGTGTCTATTAAAATTTTATTTTTAGGATCCTTAGTCAAAATAATCATTTCGTGTAGGTTTTACCAGGGGGCTTTCTTACTTAATGGCATTATCGATATTTAATTTGTTCATTAAAAGCAAAATTGTTAATTTGGGTACATTAAACTCTATGAAAAATTATTTTTTAAATAATTTGTTATGAAAGTTGTATAAAATTTTTAATTACTTTATCAAATTCCTGGCCATTTTTCGAAAAAGAGGTTAAGTTAATTTTTTTATCAATTTAAAATTCAAAACTCGCATATTACAAAACTTTTTGGTGTTTAGAGACTTATCTGGAATGCAAGTAATACGAGTTGCATATGTTTTGAACACCTTGATATCGACTACCTCTCATAATATTATTTTTTTTAATTTGTTTTGAGATAAACTTATTATCTTTTTAAGTTTATAAATAATATTGAAGTACATCTTCACACTTATACTAATTTTAATAAATAAATATTAACTGCTCAAAAGTAAATTAATAAAAATGTGAAATGTTGATTCAGTTCCGAATGTATGTAAAAATAGAATTTCTCATATATATAAATTGATACTTACATGTATATTTCGAAAATGTCGATATAAAGCATTTTTAGCTCATCCGGTATAGGAATAAACGAAGCAAATGATATATATTTCAACCATTTAAAAGTCAGTTCAATTACGTCTATACTCCTTTCCTGAAATTATTATTGTTCAGATTAATATATCAATACATAAACAAATGTCAAAGTTTTTTATTTCCTGTAATATTGAATTTAATTCTTAATAATTTGGTTATAATAAAATCTCGAATAAAAATTTTACAGAATGAAATACTCAAGACTTCAGGCCTATCGACTGAAAAATTCAGTTCAATTACGTCTATACTCCTTTCCTTAAATTATTATTGTTCAGATTAATATATCAATACATAAGCAAATATCAAAGTTTTTTATTTCCTGTGATATTGAATTTAATTCTTAATAATTTGGATATAATAATATCTCTTATTCTCATAAGAGACAGAGATGTTTTAAATCCGCTCCGTTTAATTTGGGTATAATTTAATTATTAGCGCATAAAAAAATTGCACATGGACGCTCACAATAAAAATAGTTTATTGTTTTTATTAGTGTTGAAAAAAATAATCACAAAATTCTTACTTATATTAAAGAAAATAAGAAAAAAATCAACAGGTATTTGTGGCGTTATAATATTTTAACATTTAAAAATACTTTTTGAAAATATCTTTGCATTTTATATTAATAAGTTTTCTCCTTTTGAAAAATAATTTTTCATTCTTCTTGATAATTTTAATTTTGAGTGTTCGTAAAAAATTTCTTTTCTTTTATTATTTTTAAATTAATTTTTTTTTATATAAAATATAAAATTTAGTGTTTAGCTCGAGTTTCCGTCAAGGTACTGCCATTTTGGAAGATGAATCCGGCCTTATGGTTTAAGCAAGTGGAAAGCCAATTTATCACCGCTGGAATCACCTCGGATTCAACAAAATTCCATACTATTGTTGGATCTATCGAAGCTAATGTTCTGTGTGAGGTAAGCGACATCATTCTGCAACCCCCGGAGACGAATATGTATGAAACACTTAAACAACGCACAGTGGTATAGGAAAAAACTTCTAAACGGTTAATCCGATTTTGATGAAATTTGGTATGCACAAAGAGGAGGTGTTGTCGAGTTCAGGTTTTGAATTTGGACCTTATAGGCCAACCAGGGGCCCGGCGGGGGGTCCTCAAATTAGGACACCTCGGCTATGTTAAATTTTTAAAACGATCCTATTTCTTCATTTGAGTTCAGATTTAAAAAAAATTTCGTATATAGAATCTCCTCATCGAGCACTATAAAAATGTAAAAAATGTAAATTATCTCTTATAGTTTAGGAGATATTCGCATTTGAAAATTAAAATTTTAAAATTCTTACCGTCCTTACTTTAGTTTTTTGATAATAGCGGGTCCAAATATTCCCGATTTTCGCCATTTTTTCTATTCGCTTAACAACAAGTTTATATATCAAGCAGTGAAAGAATTATGTAAAAATCATGACTGAGTCCAAAGTTATAGGCATTTTAATTTAAAAATTAAAAAAAGGCGATTTCTTGCCATTTTTTTTGGGAAAAAAGTATCTTTTTCTTTTTAAGTTATCTAAAAAGTTTCTAAGAAGATGTATATAGAATTTATACTTTTTTGAAAGCTGACTTTACATAAAATACGATAAATGAAACAAAACCTAAAAATTGTTGATACCGAAATTGTTGAACCCTATTTTTTATGGAATATTCAATTTTGAGCAAAAATTCTCAAATCGCATAGTCGATATCAAATTATAGTGACCTGTTTTATATGACCCAATATGTTCTTAATCATTTTGTAACGGGTTTCGATAACCCCGCCCCTGGTATGGATATAATAGGCAAAAAACCAAAAAATCCCATTTTTGGGATTTTTTAAAACTTTTTTTGGGAATTCCGGGATTTCTAATAAGAAAATTCGAAATTTTTATTTAATTTTGGATTTTGAGTAAAAAAATCTACCTAACTGTAAAATTTCATCAAAAAATATTCATAAATAAAATTTTTATTGCAATTTGAAAAATTTGTATCTTCGCAAAAACTGAATAAAAAACATTTTTTAATTTTTTTTTAAAAAAAGTATTCCGCGAATTTGTTAATTTTCAAAAATTATATAAAGTTTTGAAAAAAAGACAAAATTACCTTTCCATTGATATATAACATGCCTACCTAATGTTTTTTAAGTGACAAATTAATTAGGGAAAACTCAACATCTTTTAGAAAATATACCTAGCACTATTATTTTCATCCATATATGTAACAAATTTAAGAGTTAACCTTATGGATGAAAATAATAGTGCTAATTTAATAGTGTAATATTTGAAAATTAAAAAATTCGCGGAATACTTTTTTTAAAAAAAATTAAAAAATGTTTTTTATTCAGTTTTTGCGAAGATACAAATTTTTCAAATTGCATTAAAAATTTTATTTATGAATATTTTATGATGAAATTTTACAGTTAGGTAGAATTTTTTACTCAAAATCCAAAATTAAATAAAAATTTCGAATTTTCTTATTAGAAATCCCGGAATTCCCAAAAAAGTTTTAAAAAATCCCAAAAATGGGATTTTTTGGTTTTTTGCCTATTATATCCATACCAGGGGCGGGGTTATCGAAACCCGTTACAAAATGATTAAGAACATATTGGGTCATATAAAACAGGTCACTATAATTTGATATCGACTATGCGATTTGAGAATTTTTGCTCAAAATTGAATATTCCATAAAAAATAGGGTTTTTTTGGATGGACCTGGTCCCTTCGGTATCAACAATTTTTAGGTTTTGTTTCATTTATCGTATTTTATGTAAAGTCAGCTTTCAAAAAAGTATAAATTCTATATACATCTTCTTAGAAACTTTTTAGATAACTTAAAAAGAAAAAGATACTTTTTTCCCAAAAAAATTGCAAAAAATCGCATTTTTTTAATTTTTTAAATTAAAATGCCTATAACTTTGGACTCAGTCATGATTTTTACATAATTCTTTCACTGCTTGATATATAAACTTGTTGTTAAGCGAATAGAAAAAAATGGCGAAAATCGGGAATATTTGGACCCGCTATTATCAAAAAACTAAAGTAAGGACGGTAAGAATTTTAAAATTTTAAATTTCAAATGCGAATATCTCCTAAACTATAAGAGATAATTTACTGCTACGACGACATTTTTATAGTGCTCGATGAGGGGATTCTATATATTCTATTTTTTTTTTAAATCGGAACTCAAATGAAGAAATAGGATCGTTTTAAAAAATTTAACATAGCCGAGGTGTCCTAATATGAGGACCCCCCGCCGGGCCCCTGATTGGCCTATAAGGTCCAAATTCAAAACCTAAACTCGACAACACCTCCTCTTTGTGCATACCAAATTTCATCAAAATCGGATTAACCGTTTAGAAGTTACCGAATTATTTCCTCTTTTTTTTTCCTATACCACTGTGCAACGGCTAAAAGAACGCTTCACTGATTCTGAAGAAAAGCAGTTGAAGAAATTGTTACGCGACATAGAGTTGGGATATAAAAAACCCTCAACACTTCTATGCGAGATGTCTACATTATCTTCTGGAAAAGTATCAGACGAACTTTTGAAGAATTTGGGGATGCAATTCTGCCGTAAGTAGGCAGATAAAATCGCCGACACATCTGAATCTTGGGAGGTAAATGCCATAGCTGGTTCATCAACATTGTCTAATAGAAGTGAGTGAAGATAAATATGTAATGACGTAAAGAGTTAAGTCATTACATGTTTGCAAATATGTCTCAGGTATTTGAAAAATATGTGTTAAATACAAATTTGACATATTTCCAAATATGTTTTTGTATTTTCACCGTATTTATGCAAAATTAATATTTTTAAATAAACTAAAATTCTCAAATGAAAGGAAATTGATTCCCTATCCTTGTACATATTAAAAAATGTCATGTTTTGAATTTTAACACCTTTTCATAGTAGTTGAAGAATTTTTCGAAAATCTTAAGTTTTAACACCATGAAAGGATGCAAACGGACGGTTCATACATCAAATGAAATGGAATCGATCGCCCTACCTAAAGGGATATTGGGGCGGTTCGTACCTCAAATTAAGGAGAATCGAGTCCTCTACTGTTACCATTAATAACATCTTTAAAAAGTTAAAATTTCGATTTTTTTAAATTTTTTCAAAAATGAAATTTCACAAAATTTTAACTTTCGTCCCATCTAAAGGGTTGTTGGGGCAGGTTATACGTCAAAATAAGGGGAATCAACCTACAAAAATATTTCCAAAAAGTTAAGTTTTCGATTTTTGACAATTTTTTCAAAGTTAAAATTTCACAAAATTTTAACTTTCGTTCCCACCTAAAGGACTAATAGGACGGGTCTTACCTCAAATTAAGGGTAATCCGTCCCCTTACCGTTACCTACAAAGACATTTTCAAAAAGTTAAGTTTTCGATTTTTGACAATTTTTTCCAAGTTAAAATTTCACAAAATGTTAACTTTCGTCCGCACCAAAAGAGTTAATGGAACGGGTCATACCTCAAATTAAGGGGAATCCGTCCCCTTACCGTTACCTACAAAGACATTTTCAAAAAGTTGAAATTTCGATTTTTGACAATTTTTTCAAAGTTAAAATTTCACAAAATATTAACTTTCGTCCCCACCAAAAGGGTTAATGGAACGGGTCATACCGCAAATTAAGGGGAATCCGTCCCCTTACTGTTACCTACAAAGACATTTTCAAAAAGTTAAGTTTTCGATTTTTGACAATTTTTTCCAAGTTAAAATTTCACAAAATTTTGACTTTCGCCCCAAAAAGGGTTAACGGAGCGGGTCATACCTCAAATAAAATGTAATAGACCCCTCTGCCGTAAGCTTTTAATACATTTTTAAAAAGTTAAAATTTAGATTTTTGTAGATTTTTTCAAAGTTAAAATTTTAACTTAAGTTAACTGCTTTGTAGCTTTTATTTATTGATTTATTTACATTTACTTTTGTTTTTATACCCTTCACCTTCGTGAGAAGGGTATATGTATATAAGTTTGTCATTCCGTTTGTAATTTCCAAAATATAATATTAGGGTCGGAATATTAAAGTATAAAGTATATATATTCTGTAATCGAGAAAAAACTTA